GCTGGGGTATGAAAAGAAACTCCCAAGACTTGATGACTAGGTATCAACTGAAATAAACTGAAAATCTCTCTCCTCCCAGTCCTTAGTTTATCTCTCCAGAGGCAACAGCTATTCAGTTTCTTGGATGACCTGAGACATTCTATGTCTATGTACCTGTAGGCATGTATTTAGCTTTCCCCTTTAAATATAGAAGCGTACTTTATACACTCTTCTGGATCATACTTTTAAAGATACTTAAGGGGTACCTGGCTGGCTCAGTTGGTAGAGCATGCGACTCGGGGTGGTGAGTTCAAGTCCCATGCTGGGGGGAGAGCTGACGTAAAAAAAAAAAATACTTAAAATATCTTGGAGAGATTGTTCTCTGTTGGCACACACATCTAATTCTTTTTATTTTTTATTTTATTTTTTTTAAGATTTTATTTATTTGAGAGGGAGAGAATGAGAGAGAGCACGAGAGGGAAGAGGGCAGAGGGAGAAGCAGACTCCCTGCCGAGCAGGGAGCCTGATGTGGGACTCGATCCCGGGACTCCAGGATCATGACCTGAGCCGAAGGCAGTCGCCTAACCAACTGAGCCACCCAGGCACCCGACATCTAATTCTTTTTAACTGTTGCATGGTATTTCGTAGTACAGTTGTGCTGTATTTTTAGTTCCTTATTGATGCTTCGGTCTTTTACAGCCCTAAAAATGATGGGATGACTGTCCTTTGTATAAACATCTCTATGTACACATGTGAAGACTACTTGAATAATTTTCAAACTGCCCATTTTCGCAATAACGTCCATCATGTGCTACAAGAATGCAGAGAAAAAAAAGAGTAGAATAGTGCCTGCGTCATCATATTGTGTGAGAAAGAATGGCCTTTTTCTTCACATTGGTTGAATAAGACTCCTCAATTTGTTTCCCTTACATAAACTTGAAGACAGACTGCAAAGCCTTTAATAATTAAACCCACCCATCTTCAGATAAACACATGACATGCTGTGTGGGGGAAATGCTCCCAGAACGTGTCAAAGCACAACCTTGTGCAACGTGGCATAACTGGAATGCGGGGTGCTGACAGCAGCAGAAACACTCTCCAGCAAAGACGGGGGTGCTGCTTCGTGAGCAAAGTTAAAAGGCCGACTGAAGGCAAAGAGGGGGCTGGGCAAAGCAACAGACCAAGGCACTGAGTAGCAATTTCTGCTCCGCTCAGGGCCAAGAACTCAAGCATGAGAGTTGCATATTTGTGAAAAAAATCGAAGGACAAGAGCTCAACTATGATGGCTGCGTTAAGGAGGCCATTGGAGCCCATGGGTTGAGAGAGCAATCGTTGGGGGTTCCAGCAGATGGAAAGGCTCCTCGGAAGAGTAAGTCCCCAAGAGAAAGGGAAGGGAAGGGAAGGGAAGACACTCCCACACGTTCATTATAAACCAAGCCCCCAAATGGGAAGAAACAGTATATATTCAAGTACTGTGACTAGATGTACCGGATTACAAATGGGGAGATGTGTAGGGGAGAGAAAGGAGCAAGACACTGCCAAATAATGTAAGCTTTTGAACAGGAGAAGGATAGGTAGTAAGGGTTCCCTATGTCACTTCTGGATGTTTTTAAAACCTAAGCAGATTAAGTCAGGTTAAATACACTGAGAGGCAGTGTTAACAGTGTATTTACCTGTTAAAGCAGGAGTCAAGAGTCAAAGATTTAAAGATGCTGGATCTGAAGATGGAAAATGAGGCCACAAAGCAAGAAACGCAGGTGGTCTAGAAGCTGGAAAAGGCAAGAGAACAAAATTCTCCCCAAGGGCCTCTAGAAAGAATCGGCCTTGCCCACACCTTGTCTCTAGCCCAGGGACAGCCACTGCAGACTTCTGACCTCCAGACCTAGGACATAATAAACTTGTGTTGTTTTAAGCCATGAGGTTTGTGGTCATTTGTTACAGCAGCAATAGGAAACTGATACACATACTAAGGGGCCAGAATCTCTGCTACTGGAGAGTTCCTGAAGATAATTCCAAGTTTCTTAAGTGTTATTGGACATTGATAATAGGCCAGATACTGTGTTGAATGCTAAAGGCTTGATGGTGAATCATAACAGCTCTCGCCCACAAGGAGTTCACAGCTGATCAGATAGGGCCTGCCACCGAGTAGGTGTTCAGTACTCATGGGTGGGTGGGTGGATATTTAGATGAATGGATGGCCTAGAGCGCCCTGTGTGCTTTGCTCCTTTGCTGACCCATTCTTCTGTCTCATTCGTAATTGCTCTTTTGTTCTTCCTTGAACCCACTGAACTTGCTCCCATCTCAGGGCTTTTGTACTTGCTGTTATGTTAGAATGTTCTTTAATTTGATGTTTGTATATTTGCTCCCTCATTTCCTCTGCTCAGTGCCACCTTGTCAGAGAGGCCCTCCTTAACTACACTAGATAAGTGATGTCCACATCACTTTCTAGATCCTTCATCTGGCTTTTTCTCCAGATAATTTGTTGCTTCCATGGAAGATGGTTCACCCAGCTGAGGGAGGGAGGGAGTCCTAAAATCCAGCCCACCCTCTGTTCCCCTTAGCAGGGGCCTGAGTCTGACTGAAGGAAGAGGCTTTTTTTTTTTTCCCCCTAATTCACACAAAGTTGTTGCTTACTCCCCTGGCCCTGTGCCTTTTTCTAACTTGCAGAGACATCAGACTATTTACTAGTAACCCTGCTTTTCTTCACCTAGTAGAATAGAAGCTCCAGAAGAGCAAAATCTTTGTCTGTTTGTTCACTGTTGCTTCCCTAACGCTTAGAACAGTATTGGGCACATAGCACATATTCTTCAATATGCATTTTTTTTTTTCTGGGGGGATGGACAGATGCATGGGGAGTGTGAGAAACTCACAAAGTGCCAATATAATTGTGAGTGTCAAGATGAGACTGTGGATGGGATAGTATGGGAGCTCAGAAGTAAGGTATCTAACCTTGTCTTAAGAGGAGAGAAAATGTGTTTTAAGAAATTACACAGTCCAAAGGAAAGTTTATTTGATTTCCTTGTCCTTAAGTTTCACAGTTCTTGCGGTTAAAATAATTCATTTATTTGGGGATGGAAGAATCTAGAAGTACCCTGTACACATGCTTCCTTTAGGTGATTCTGCAATAGCAGTGCTTGCCTCTTCTACCTCAGGATCAAGGAAGGGACTGTGTGAGTGAACACACACCATAAAAGCAAGATTACTAGCATCCCATTCCAGAGTTATTGAACAAACCTAAAGCACATTTACCTGTAACTAAGGTTTATGTTTGGGGACAGGGTGAATATGGCAAGGCAAGGGAAAAAAAACAGCACACAGGTTTGGAACTCTGAGAGTTCAACATTTTTTTAATTTGACTTCTAATTTTACAGGTGAATTGTTTCTGGTCAAAGCTAATTATTATTATTATTTAAAGCTTTTATTTATTTATTTGAGAGATAGGGAGTGAGAGAGAGAGAGAGCATGAGAGGGAGGAGGGTCTGAGGGAGAAGCAGACTCCCTGCTGAGCAGGGAGCCTGACGTGGGGCTCGATCCCAGGACTCTGGGATCATGACCTGAGTTGAAGGCAGACGCCTAACTGACTGAGCCACCCAGGTGCCCCAAGGTCAAAGCTAATTAAATGGAGGTGGAACCAGACTGTCATTTTTAGAATGGGAATTCAGTGCCTGTTCTGGTACCTCACTTCACAATGATGGGCAGAAGCTGGTGTTCAGGAACCAGAAGTTACATTTCATATACTTAGAAACAACCTCCCAGCCAATTCCTAAAATGAAAACATTAAAACTTTTCAATTTGATGAAGACCAACTTAACAAGGGTAAGGGGAATCAGTGTTAGAGAACAGGAAACCAGTTCTTCCTTTTGATCCCCATATGTGTTAAGTATTGTTCATAGAGTCACAAAAACCTGCGGTTTGCCACCACAGAATCCTGGAAATTGGGAGGGGTTGTAGAAAGCAAGTGGTAACAAATACTCTCATTGTGTGAGCAAGAAAAGTGAGACTCCACACAGAGTCAAAACCAGAACCCTGAAATCTTGAAGCGGAGTTCATTGCTCTCATCCTTGTTCCAGGTTGGGAGTTCTCTTAGGGAACAGAATAAAGGGGGTGGGATCCTCCTAAAATTTTGGCGCAGGATCTTGAGGGTACAGATTTAAACCTTAAGTTAAAATGCGGTTCAGGTTTCACTTAAGAGAAGCAAACTCATTTAAATAGCTCCTCCAACCTAACTGCAGAAAGTCTATCTTGGCATTCTTGGATCAATAGCAAACTTCAACCTGGAACTGGAAAGAACAAACACCAAATGTAAACACCACCTTTCAAGTTCTTGGTAAATATTTTCCTTCTCTCTCTACCGAACCTGCTTTTTTCCCCCTTTTTTTAAAAAAACGAGGACATACCATCTTCAACTTGACTTGTCATAGGCCCCTCGTTCACCGTAGGGTTTGTGATAACACCCTTCCGCACAAGGCTGCGGAGCTGGTGCTGTTGGTTTGCGTACTGACCCCAACTGCCCTGCACCTGTCAGATCTGAATTACTGTTATCATTGTGAATTTCAGGCTCCTGAAGAGGAATGGTATAAGAATACATGCTGCATGGGGCGCCTGGGTGGCTCAGTTGGTTAAGCGACTGCCTTCGGCTCAGGTCATGATCCTGGAGTCCCGGGATCGAGTCCCGCATCGGGCTCCCTGCTCGGCGGGGAGTCTGCTTCTCTCTCTGACCCTCTTCCCTCTCATGCTCTCTCTCAAATAAATAAAATCTTAAAAAAAAAAAAAAAAAAGAATACATGCTGCATAAATTAGGGCTATGTGGTGTTTGCTAAATGTGCCCCACCCCTCGAAAATATTGTTGGAACTGCTAATCAGTAGTAGAACTAGTGGTTCATTCCTTAAAGTACTCATTTCGGACACTCCGCTTTCCTGATCAAGCATAGCTCAAATCTTACCGGGAGAGGAAACACAGACGGTGCTGACACCATCAACAGTTACATCTGTGCCTTTCCTCTCCAGTCCGGAGAGCCAGAACACCGGGGGGGCATCGGGGGTGCAGAGTGCGCGGAGGCGCCCATTTAGTCCGGTACGCCGCAGCTTTAAGTAGGTGGGGTCCTGGAGCCCGGCGCCCTCTTCCATCCTGCGATGGGATTTCTCTCCGCTTCCGGCATCTTCATGCCTGAGAGCTAAAGTCCTTTCAGAAAAACAACAGGTGACCATGCAACCGCAGGAGAGGGAAGTTTGGGGACGAGCCCGAGGCTGAGCGAGTCACGCCCGCGGAGACCGGAAAGCCCAAGGGTGCTGCAGAAGCGCCCGGGAGTGGCCCGGGGATTTTCCGGGGCCGGAAGTGCCCCGCGTCGCCATGGCTACAGGCGCCGACGCTCCCGGCTCCGTCCGCGGCGTTCCGTTCCCATGGCAACCCCATTGTCTCTCGAGCCGGAACCCGGGCTGCCCGCGCGCCAGGCCGACCGCGCAGAGAGCCTCGCTTCCGCCAGGCGCCTGTGCGGCGTCCTGAACGAAGTCCGCCGAGGCCAGGACGCTGACGCCGCCCGAGGAAGCCGAGCGCTCCTGCTGAGGGAGCCAGGAAGGCTAGTTCCGGGGCGTGGCTTCTCTGCCCTCGGCCAGGTGGGCGGCCCAACCCCTGCCTTGCTGCTCCCCGCCAGTGGTTTTCGAGTTGGAGCCTCTGTGGCACCACCCGCAAGAAAGAAGCCTCGGGATGCTCACCTGGGGCTCAGGATGTGGCTCAGGGTTTACGAAGTTGCGGTGAAGGGAAGAGGGAAGCGCTTTGCATTTGAGAGAGGGGCCAAAGTTTGGTAGTCTAATTTATTCAGGACCGTATAGCACCTCAAAGAACAGAATTTAGGAGGTTGGGAACTCAAAACTCCTCGCCCTGGCCATAGTTTTGAAAGTAGAGATTAGAAAGAAATTAATCTCCTTCTGGTGTTTGGATTGTGGATGTTCTGGAGCCTGTGTCAGAGAGCTACTCAGGGCTCAGATGGGAAGGAGTGACATTCTGCAGGGTGAAATGAGGAGCGACTTGGTGGGTGTTAATGTTCAGTGCAGAACTGTGCATTCGATTTAGATTTGATTTAAAGGGAGAGCCATGAGAATTGAATTTCACAAATAATTATAAGTCAGATGTTTGTCATGAGGTTTCAGTCATTTCCCCCCTCAGCTAGGGACAATACCCAAACAGACGCTTGTGTGTTCCTTAACTAGTACCTCCTATTAAATAGTGGGTTGGCCCTAGGGCCAAAGAGAAGAATTAACCAATACGGTGGCTATACTTCATTTAATGCTTAGAACTGGTTGCTTGGTTGGATCCATCTGGCAAAAACAATATCTGACTTGAGTAGGAGAACATAGTTTTGATGATTCGGGAGCTGTAAATATACTGGCTTTAAGGGGGTAAAAAAAAAAGTCAGGGATTTTGGAGGTACTCTGGAGTAGGAATTAGGGGAAAGAAATTTAATTCAGAGGTTTAATTTGACAAATACCTTTAATTTCTGCCTTCTAGGTGTCTCTAGACATGAGTGAGGATAGTCTATTTATGGATTTCAGATGGGTTATGTATTTGGGCAGTTTCAGTTTAATGTTAATAGCATCCAACAGAGGGAAAATAGAACAGACTTCTAAGCCTTTTTTTTTTTTTTTCCAAAGCCAACCTGACTTGTGATTCTTGGTGGGACGAAGATGCAAGCCAGCCCCATCCGCATTCCAACTGTCAGCAGTGACATCGACTGGGATTTCTGCTTCCACCTGTAAGTACCACAGAACCTTGACATCACACTCAGTCACTGGCCTGGAACACGGACCTCCCACTTAAGGCAAACCTGGGCTGCGGAGCTTTGCGTGCATATTATATAGAAGAGAAGGTTGAGCTTCTGTGGTGTGTTTTAATAACGATTCTGCTATACAATCCATTTGTAATTGTGCAGCCTGTGCGAGAAGGAACATAATTGTTTTTTCCTAACTGAAGGGAAATTTTATTTATTTATTTATTTTAAAGATTTTATTTATTTATTTATTTGACAGAGAGAGACACAGCGAGAGAAGGAACACAAGCATGGGGAGGGGGAGAGGGAGAAGCAGGCTTCCCGCTGAGCAGGGAGCCCGACGCGGGGCTCGATCCCAGGACCCTGGGATCATGACCTGAGCTGAAGGCAGACGCTTAATGACTGAGCCACACAGGCGCCCTGGGAAATTTTATTTTTTATAGATAGGTTAATTATACCAAGATTGATAAAGTCATGGAGAATTAAATATAACAAAGATAATGAGTAAATTAAAATTGTTTTATGAAATAAAGAGACAATAAGTAAAACTTTCACATCATAATAGCTAATACTTATTGAGCAAATACTTTGTGCCAGGCACTAAGTACTCACATGAAGTCATCTATTGCCCCAACATCCCTGTACTGCTAGTACTATTATACTATTATAATTTTATAGCTAAGGAGTATGAATCAAAAAAAGCTTAAGTAATTGGCCCCAAATCCCACAGCTAGTGATTCAAACTGGGCGGCCGGATTGCAGAGTCAATTCTTTAACCATTTTTCTATACCAGGGTTTCCCAACCTTGGCACCGTTGACATTTTGGGTGGGCTAACTCTTTGTTGTAGAAGGCTGACCTATGCATTGTAGGATGTTTAGCAGCATTTCTGGTCTCTACCCAGTAGCTGCCATTAGCACCGTCCCAGTAATAACAAACCAAAATGTCTCCAGACATTGCCAGATGTCCCCTGGGGCCAATATCACCCTTGGTTGAGAACCATTGATCTATACCAATGCTATCAAACAGGAATATAATGCAGGTCACAAATGCCAGCCACATATGTAATTTAAAATTGTCCAGTAGCCATATTAAAAAATAAAAAAGAAATAGGTAAATTGAATTTTAATACTGTATTTATCTTAATATATCTGGAATATTTTAAAAAACAAGTAGTGAAATATTTTATATTTTTTCTTCATGCTAAGTCTTTGAAATTCAGTGTGTATTTTATACTTATAGCACATCTCAATTCAGATTAGCCACATTTCATGTGCTTAATTTTAGTCGTTTTGTACCACCTCATAAAATATCCTGAGGTTAAGGGTTGTATAACTTTAAAAATTGAAGTTAAGATGTAGCGTTCACGGTAGAGTATCTTGGAAGTAATCAGATAATTCATATTTATTATTACTAGTCTGAATTCATATTTATTGATAGCAATATATAGAATAAGTTATAAACCTGGCAAGACAGACCTTTCATTCAACCTGCCTATTCTTTTTATTCTGACTGTTATTTTATCTTTCAAGAAATCTGACTGGTCAGTATTCTCCAGTCATCTTTCTAATCTTTCATGACAAGATATTCAAAGCTAGTTTAGGTCTTTGCATTCTCAAGTCATTTGTCAAGACCTCAATGTTTCTCCTTGCTTTGAGGTCGCTGTTGTTGAAGCTTGCTGCTTTTGGTCTCAGCTTAATTTTATTGAAGGCTGAACTTAAAATATTAGGGCTTATAATTTTTAAGATCCATAATTGGCAATCTCTTTGGTGATCCCAGTAGATTGAACTTCTGTTCCAGGTCTTTGAAATATGCAGCCTAAGCAAAATCTTCTATTGAGGGACTAAATTTTCTGTTAGTTTTCTTGACTTAGGATCTTTTGCCACCGATTCCCTCTACCTTCAGTATTTTTCAAGTGTCCTAAAGACTATGTTTTCTTTTTTTCACTCATTTGTGCATCATTTAACAAGCCATTATTTATCTTTACTGTAAGCCAGGTATCAGGGTTTCAGAAATAAATGAGATTTAGCCCTGGCCCTGGTGCAGTTTATTTGCTAGAAGGCAAAGACTCAGAAACAAAACAAAGGAATTTTGAAAACGTGACTATAATGTGATTTGCACTATAGTAGAAGTTTGGAGGAAATTTTTGCAAGTCCTTTGGAGGGTGTCTCTACTTGCTACTTTAGTATGGGACTCCAGCAGAGGTGACATCTGAGTTGGGTCTTGAAGGAGGAGCATTAACTCACCAGGCAGAGAGGAGGCAAGCTTAGCACCTACCTTCTGATCACTTTGCATCAGCCATGTTCTCTGGCTTTTCCACTGAGTTTGCATGTCTTCTGAAAGCACACTTCTGTTTGTGGGCAGAAGGTGATTTTGCCAGGCCTGGGCCTGAAGAAATGTTGCTGTCCTGTCCCCGTGACCTGGTTTGCTCAGGTGCCTCTGGGTTGGTTATTTAGAACAGGAAGTCTGGATGGATGTTAACGTGTCATTTCTCAAACCTAGTGTAAAAGATTACACTTGACATTTGTTTTTCTTCTTCTTTTTCTTTTTTTTTTTTTACAGTGAACATTTATTACTTATCTAATCAGTGGAAAAGGAAGATAAATTTTATTTTTAAAACTATGTAGTGGTTGAACTTTTAAAAGTTGTACAACTTTTAAAATTGTATATACAAAGGTGATTCCTTTGGGAGACTTGTTTATAATTAAACATTCTGTTCTGCTCTTAAGATTTCAGAATTCTGTTTTTTCTGGATCACTTTGATTTTTCTGGCAATGTTAAGATGTGGTTATGTCTTTTTTTGTGTAAGATTACCTCCTTTGACTTTTATCCTTACCATTTCCAGTTACCCATTCATAATCATGTTCAGCATTGAAGTCAGAGATCTACATTGTGCATGTGAGACAGTAGAGGGGGCAGGAAGGGGGGGGCGTGAAGGGGTGGGAGGGAAAGAGGGGGCTTGGGAGGGAGAGAGGAGGCAGGAGGGAGAGAAGCAAGTGGAGAGTGGGGAGATTTTCAATCCACTCGGCTTTTTATTCAACACATTTATTTCTAATACAACTGAGAAGGCCATTTTGCTTCTGAATCTGCTCTTGACTTTGTGGAGTTCCCTCCCCTCTCCTTATTGGGACTACATCCTCTTTAGTTAGTTGGCCAATACTTTTAAGAAATATGAAAGAGGACAGTGAAGTCTGGCCTCAAACTGTTAATTCCCTTCCCATTATTTCATTGTACCGATTTTCTTTCCTGGTTTGGATCAGAATTTTAGAATGAAAAAGATCTTTGAGATCTTCCAATTCAGCACTTCCGTTTTGGAGCTAATAAAATAATAATAGCTAATATTAAAATAGTACTTACTAAATAGCAGGCGTGATGCTAAGTGATTTATGAGTATTATCTGATTTAATCCAGTCACCTCCTCTGATTGACCCCATTTTACAAAGAAACAAATTAAATATTAACTTGCTTAGGGTCATATGGTTAGTAAGTAGCAGAGCTGGGACTCTGAGGGAGGTGGGTGGTTTAACAAATCTGTTTCATTTGAATCACCACATTGCTGTCCTGATTCTGCGCTTCAGGGGGGACGCGAGCTTATCCCCAGACTTTATTCCTTCAAGTTTCTGATAGAGCGCATATCCCTACCCCTCATTTGTTCTTCAACTTTAACTGATTTGAGATACACAGAGGTCAAATCTGAATCCACGTCCCTCTCTGGTATCTACAGGTCTCAGCAAGCCAAGATCCCAGCATACCAGCGAAGAGAAGAATTGTGTTCCTCTAGTGGGTCTGGAGAGAGTGAAGAAGACACTACAGCCAAGGAGGAGAAGAACACAGTCTGCATGTCTCTTCCTAAAGAGAAATTGGCCCAATCCCAGAAGAAAATAGCTCAGCTGATTAAGAAAAAAATGGTAAAACAAAAAGCCCACGAGGTTTTAGTTTCCCTTTAAAAATATGTCCACGATGACAGAAGCTCTGCCTTCAGTGGACATTGAAGCACTCAAAGTAGGGGAAGTTGTTATATTTCTTTATAAGCAGAAGAAAACAAGGCAGAGCATAGTGGGGTAGCCACCCTGCCTTCGGGTTCCACACCAGGGTCACTGTGCATTCTTCCATGGAGGGTTTGTGCTCCTGGCTTTAAATTGAAAATGAATGTTTTGTTCTTTGTGTTTATGTTTGATTACCTTTAATTTAAAAAAAAAAATTTTTTTTAATTTCTCCTGAAATGTTTCAGAATGAGATCCCTTGGGTAACAAGAAGGCCAGGATAGTGAGGCAGGAGGCTGAGAACAAGGGTAGCCAGGCTGAGGCCCAGGCTCAGATGCCAGTGGTTCAGTGGACTCATAAGCAAACTAAAGCACCAGAAAGGGGAGGTTGCAACAGAGGTCAGAGTCCAGAGGTGCATTTCTCAGAGCGAGAAAAGACTTGGTAACTAGGACCTCAGAGCAAGTGCTATTAATAGAATGTTCAAAATCCGGGAGCCTGAGATAGGATGACGGTGACCTTCATTATTAGAACACAGGCACCAGCATGTTCCTGGAGCATGATTTATCCACTGAGGAATTCATACACTGACTTCCTGGCTAGGGAAAAAAAATGAGCTTAAAATGTCTAGAGGAAGGGTCTGTAGATGGCTTTAGGAAAGGCCAAGAGACACCTCACAGGCAGATGATAGAAGCTGATACCCCTACTTGGATAGATCTATAAATTTACCTCTGTAAATCATCCAGAGGACTTGCAGAGGACAGTCATCTTGGCCTGTACCCATTCATATTTCACAGCCCCAGGCTAGAACCTTTGCTTTCAGAAACAGACAAGTACCATCTGCCATAGAGTACAAGTGTGGGTTTTTAAGGCTTGACAACTCCTTGGCCAGTTTGGATAATGACTAGAGTTGGAAGCGGAACCTATAGATGAAAAGAGACTCAGGAGACTGATCTCAACGTATGGACAGGCAGACTGTAAAAAAAAATATATTAGATTTATGAGGTAATTATTAGATTTATGAGACTAGATATTTAATATTACAGAATTATTAATATTTTAGTGAGAGTGGTTTTCTGGTTATATGTCTAAGTCTGTATCTTTGGGAGATGCTCATGAGATATGAAATGATTTAATATCTGATTTTTCTTCAAAATAATAGGGTGGGTGGATGAGGGGGATAGATATGAAACAAGATTGACCATGAGTAGATACCTCATGAAACTAAGTGAGCCCTCTCCATGCTATTTTTGTATATTGCTAAAGTTTTTCACAATAAAAGGTTAAAGGAAGTCACGCTGGCTATGATGTTGAGAGTAGACCGGGGCAGGGGGGCGGGGCAAGAGTGGGAGCAGTTAGAAGCGGCTCTTGTGGTCAGCTGGGTGAAAGGTGAGCGTGGTTTGAATCAGGTACTCATGGCAGAACTGAGGAACAGAGCTTAGTGTGAGGACTTAGGAATAAGGGACAGCCACCAGGCCTTGCTGGATTGGTCATGGGATGGGAAGGGGAGAGAAGAGAAAACGACGACAGGTGAATTCAGTCCTATATTCCTGTGAGAAGAGCCTGGGCTAGAGCTTTCCCTCCTTTCCAAAAAGCATAATGATGTCTTTGCTCTCTGCAGAATACCCAAGCAAACAAGGAGCTGATTCGCTGTGTCATCCTTTCTCGGATTATTTTTGGGGAAGAACACTGGAAATGTGCACAGGCTGTGGCCAGCCTGGCTTACGGCTACCTGACACTGAGAGGTACATGGATTCCCCCACTGGGTCTGGGTGGGCCAGCCTGTGAGAGCCAAACTAAGCCAACCTACAAGCACGGTGGGGGTGGGGATGACAGGCGGCGGGGGGAGGGCCCTTCCTGCCCCCAACTCACACCTCAGCAAGAGGCGGGAAAGCCCATGGATGAGGCAGGCAGTGTGGCAGGGATCTTAGAAATAAAGATAATGATGATAGCTAATTTATTGAATGCTTAGCATGTACCAAGCTATCTCATTTAGTACTCATAATATCCCTTGGAGGGAGATACTGTTATTGTCCATAGTTTACAGATGAGGGCAAGGAGATACAGTGGGCCAAGGACAATATGAGAAGTTCCAGCCACAGGTCCACAAGGGAAGGACGGGCAGGTATGTATACTCAGCATCAGGGTGAGTGTCCCAGTAATAGGACCTGAATTCTGTGTACAGAACTCAAGTTCCTGGAAGATCTGGCTGAGAAAAAGACCAAGCCCTCATCCTAGAGAAATGGTGCTTTCTGGAAGGTACTCTGTACGGAAGAACAAGATCAGGAGGCATCTGCTAACACTGAAGCCCAAGTGTAAGATCCATGAGGGCAGGAACTTGGCAGTAGAGGCTCAGTAAATATTTGTTCAGATGGACTGGGGCCAGAACATATCTCTGGAACCAAGGTTAGGGTCAGCTCAGGGCTTTGTGCCTGTGACCAGCTGGGCCGTCCTACAGGAACTACATACACTCCTGCCACGGATCTCTTTGTACACATTCACATGTGCTTTGTTTACATGCCTCTGTCTCTGAAACAGAAGCTCCCTGAGAGCAGGGACTAGGTCTCCCCTATAACCTAATACAGTCTCTAGGACACAGTATGGATCAGCAGATGTCGCTGCTTGATAGAACTGAGCCACTGGCCTAGGACTTCTTCAAGTACCCCATGGACCTGGGTCTTCAGGTAGGGCCTAGCTTACCTGACAAGTAAATGATTTAAGGGCCTAAGAGGGTTTGAGGGCTACAGGGGAAGGGAACCAATATACCTGGGCCATAAGGGGCCTAGATATCAGAAATCAGAGCTTGAGAAAGTTAAAATGGAATTCAATTTATTATTAACCTCTGTAATTTATAATTAATTCTGTTAACCTCAGAACATGTGTTCCTTCTTAGGGCTCCCTGGGGCCTTTTGAGCTCATGTTTTTAATGAAACTTTAGATTCCTCTGGCCATTAATGTGGCAAGCCCGTGAGTGGTTGATGCTGGGGACGGTGAAGCAGTGGGCCACAGTGAGGTCGCAGTGGGGCTCTTCTAGGCCTTAAGAACACATCTGTTGTGTTCCGAGAGAAGGCCGACATGGCTAAGGAGAAGAGGGGGTCCTCACTTCCTGGCAGAACAGGCAACCACTTGTCTGTGAGATTTAAGGGACATCAGGAAGGCCTTCAGCAAAAGAAAATCTTCTAATGGAGCTACATTATTCGCCATTTGGAATTTCTCTGTTTCATTCAGGCTGATCTCCTCATACACTTGCTGCCTTCATAAGAGTACAAATTTAGCTCTGTGCCATTTTAGCCCTTGGAGGGCTCACGTGAGAAGTCTGGTGGCACTGTGCTAGATGTGCAGTGTATGAATGAAGACTGCTAGTCCCTGCCCTCTAGAAACATACAGAGATCTTAGAGTAGGCAGGGACAGATTATCATAGAGGCAGGAACACAGTTCTGGGGAAACAAATGAGGCAGATCAGGGGTTCTGCCACTGGTCAGGGAAGGCTGTAGAGAGAAGGTAACATTTGTCTTGTCTTTGAAGGACCAGGATAAGTTTGCCAAGTAGATTTCAAGGGAGTAGAGAACCCAGAGTTGGCCCTCCACATGTATTGATCCGAGGAGTGGGAGGTGAGAGGGACTCTATGAAACTCCTTACACAGAACACTGTGGACCCACAAGGTTAGGGTAGAACAGAAGACATCTCAGGACAGACGGGTCTTGACTGGCAATGGGACCAGAAAGTTAATTTGGGCCCAGGTATCAAGGAATTTGGGGAGTTATTAAAAGATTTTGAGTGAGGCGGTGACATAATCAAGCTTATGTTGTAAAGTGAGAAACTCTGGAGGATGGGTTGGTCTGATAGAAAAAGTAGAGGTGCAGAGCAGTTGGGCCGTTATCCTGACAGACAAGAGTCGCTGAAGGCATTGGCCATCGCAGTTGGAATGTGGCAGAAAGGACACACAGAATTGGTGACATGTAGTGGGCAATTACATATGGGATGAGAAGCTGAGGGAAGAGCTGGGTGGAATAGGGCTTGACCTGGATGGGTAGCTGAAATAGGGAGCTAAAGAGGAAGAGGAGACTGATGGGGGGGCAGCGGGGAGAAGCTGCTGAGTTTGGTTTCAGACAGGCCAGATCATTGCCGGTGGGAGGAGGCCATGGAGCATCATGGTAAGATATTCGGTAGGAAAAGTGGAAAGTGGAGCCAGAGCTGGGGAAGGATGTCAGTTTGGGAGGGATCCATACATAGGGGCAAGTTGAGGCCATAAGAGTGGATGAACTTCATCAGCAAAAGTAGAGAGAAAAAGAGGGCAGAGGAGAGAAGAGGGGAGAATGAGAGCATCAGGAAGGCCATGGAAGCAGAGCCAGCAGAGGAAATAGAAGAATCAGGAGGGGCCGTGTCAGGGAAGAGAAGGGGTTTCAAAAAGAAGTGCAGTGTGGTTCCAGCAGTTTCAGAGAGAGTTCGGATGACGTGAAGGCTGAAGAGAGACCTGTGGATTTGATAGTTGGCAAATCATGGGTGCTTGGTTTGGCATCGACAAGTACACTTCTTGGGCCCCAAGAGAGCCCAAGCGAGGCTGCCTAGGAGATTTTTGCTGAACTTGAGCCTTGCAGTGATGGCAGCTTGAACTGGAGAAGGCACCGTGAGTTTTTTTGGGGTACACCGGCCTGAGCCTGGGCCGGGCCAGAGGCTGCCTCCCTGTGTGTGGAGAGATTATCGTGGTAGGTCTGTAGAAGGAAGTTGGTCCTCATCTTCTGAAATCAACCTGTTCCATGAACAATCACTAATGGACTCTGAGTTTTACTTTTCCAGTTAGATTCCAAGTTGGGTCAAGATAGGTAAACAGGTTATATCACAGAAGATGATGAGAACACCATCCTTTTTTCTCTGATTCACAGTTCTTCCTGCCACGCAAGTGGAGAACCACTGTTGGGGTGGTATGTTGGAGGGAGAAAAAATGTTTTCCTTTTGCAGGAAGATTTGTTTGTTTTTTCTAGATGGGAAAAACAATGTCCTGATGAGACAAAATGCCTACATAATAGAACAGTATCCACCCTTGATCCCAGACTTTCTTTCTTTTCTTTCTTTTTTATCTAATGATACAGACCTTGCTATTTGGGGATTATAGAGTACAAAGGTTTTTGTTTTGTTTTGTTTAAAGATTTTATTTATTTATTTGACAGAGAGAGCACAAATAGGGAAGCAGCAAGCAGAGGAAGAGGGAGAGGGAGAAGCAGACTCCCCACTGAGCAGGGAGCCCGACGCGGGGCTCGATCCCAGGAGCCTGGGATCATGACCTGAGCCGAAGGTAGACGCTTAACGACTGAGGGAGGCACCCAGGCGCCCCTGAAGCCAGACTTTGTGAAACCTAATGTAGCGTTTTTCCAGAATAGATTATGATCGTGACCTTTTCTTGAGAATAACCTCTTATTTCAGCTATAGTACTTACCCAGTCTTTCCCTGTAACTTTTTTTAAAGTCTGTGGTCCATGGAATAAAACAACCTAAGCCTTGAAAAATCACAAACCTCCAAGAGGGATGAAATGCTTGCCGAGTTCCACTTAGTTTTGTTGTCATTAATCCTCAAGTGCTTTAAAATGGGCAGAATTTATGAGCTGGCCTTCTGTGTAGGCGGGATGGATGCGTCTGTGCGCGTTCATGCCTCGCTGTGCGTGTGTGTGTTTTATAGCCATCAGACCTTCTTGTCTCATTTCCCTGCGAGCCTTTTCCAGCCCTGGGGGTGGGGGTCAAGCCAAAAGGCTGATTTCTCTCAATAAACGGTCTTCCAGGGAGTATTTACTGAGGGACTTATATATTTGCAAAACCATAAAGAGCACTTTGGGAAATAAAACATACAGAAGGCACAGTGTTTGCCTTCAAAGAAGTCACAACATTGTGTGGAAGGTGAGCTACATACAGACATAGTTATGGTAGAAGGCACCATAAGGCAAACGCCATGTAATTGATTTAAATACAGGGCTTTGGGGAAGTCAGGTGGAATTATTTCTGGCTGAGGTGGTAAGTGATAGACTCAGGCGGGAAGTGCCATTCAAGAAGACCCTTAAAGAAGGGGCAGGGTTCAGGTATACAGAAGGGGTGAGTACTTCTGGTGAAGAACAAGGCCTGGAGGAATGAGAGCACAACGTGTATCTAGAAAGCAGTGGGCAGGCTGTCTAGCCAAGGGCAGACTGTTAAGAGGAACCTGAAAAGGAGGGTACGTTGGCAGACCACGGTGGGTTTTATATACAGGCTAAGGAGTTTGTGATTTATTTGGTAGACAAGGAGGATGACTGGAGATTTTCCAGCAGGCAGATGAATACATCCAAGAGTGATTGGGCAAAGGTTAATCTAGCAATGATAGCCAGCAGGGAAGCTATCTGGTGATCTAGATGTAACACTGTGCTGGTGACAAATGGAATGAGTGAGAAGGTAAGGATTTAAGAATCTCTGAAGGACAGATACATTCATCTTTTATCTTTCTGGGAGTTTTTTTTAAGTACACACTTATAAAAGAACAAGGATAAGATCATTCTTTGCGGGGCTCCTGGGTGGCTCAGTCATTAAGCATCTGCCTTCGGCTCAGGTCATGATCCCAAGGTCCTGGGATCAAGCCCCACATCGGGCTCCCTGCTTGGCAGGAAGCCTGCTTCTCCCTCTCCCACTCCCCCTGCTTGTGTTCCTGCTCTCTCTATCTCTCTCTCTCTCTGTCAAGTAAATAAATAAAATCTTAAAAAAAAAAAAAGATCATTCTTTGCTGCATT